CACATTACATATTTACGTAAGCCAACTCAGGCATCATTAAAACACCTAGAAAGGCGAAACGACCAGTACGGCCCAGCTGGCATACTCCCAAGTTGAGATTTGCAATTATTTACACGTGGTCTAAAAAATTTAACAAATTCAGCACCTGGCCGTGGTCACAAGCCCATCATTAAGTACACCAGCCACCAGCAGCGAAGAAGTATGTATGTATGTAGTATGTACGTAACTGTGTATGTGAAGAGTGTAAATTAAAGTGGGCTTAAAAAGGTAACAGAGCGTACGAAAAGTATATAGGCATTAAGGGAAATTTGCGTTGTCGAAAGCTTTTATGCTCGTGCTTGTGTACATATCTAGGTATGTAAATATGTACATAAATATATGCAATGCTAAGCGCATCGCTAGGTGACGGCATTGCCACAAACGGCCATGGAATGAATTGGCTCCATAACGCGCAACGGGTATCTAAAGAGGAAGGATGGGGTCAAATGCCCAGTTGAAAATGATAGTTAGTTAAATAATGTGTGAAAGTAGATACTTAAAATACACATATGTATGTATGTTAGTATTCTGTATGAACCATTTTTTTAAATAAAATATATATTAGTTCAGAAGCCTTTAAGACGAGATTAGTTCGTTGATGGACACAGCCTTGCCCGCCAGAGAGAGGTTTTTTAAGTTTTCCAAATCTGTATTTGGTTGAGACGTGCGAAAGGTAAAATCCTCCGCTGCCAATTACTGGATTATTCGCATAATAAGTTAGCAATTTAGCTTAAGGCTGAGAATTCTCGAAACGGATTATTTTTTTTCTGCAGTGTGGAAATATTAAATTATTTTTTGAATAGAAGACATATGGATGTATGTCCTTTTACAATGTTCTCAATCGCTTAAAATCACCTTTTTTAACTTTGTATACTTACACTCATGACAAAAATATGGGAAGTTGTTCTCCGGCAATTTATTTCTTCCGAGAAAGAAATCCTCCAATAATTAACACCCAGGCGGTAGCATTTTCCCCGAAAATTGAGGAGGAGGAAATTCCAACTTCGAATAAGCTGTTTCACACTTTTTTGAAAGCTCAACTCCGCCATTTAATATAACAATCCCTCAGGGAATTTTAATTCATGATAGGAGGAAAGGGAAAAGAGAAGACTCCCAGAGAGTTTCTGTTCAGAAGCGGCATGCATAATTTTAAAATTTACTCACAAACTCATACACAAATTCTCATTTTCAATCTCAAATAGCAAGAATCTTGTGAAATAAATTTTTATTTTTATTTTTATTTACAAATGCTGGCTAACATAAAAAAAAATCATGGCCGACGAATTTGGACAACGGCTCTACCTTACTAAACATCAAGTTTTGAAATGAAACAACAATAAGCCGATATAAATAAACTTAATTTTATGTCGTATGTATGTAGATTATGGACCTGTTTACCTTTTTTCTAAATCAGGTAATTTTACTAGAAATTTTAAATTGAATTTGCATCGTCAACGAAAAAAATACAAATTTTATAAAGGAAACATTAAAAAAATAACAGCATAATGAAGAAAATCGATGGATAAAGAAAAAAAGTTGTGAATGATCAAATGAAAATGCGCAATGATTTTTTGTATCGAATATGAGCAGCAAAGAATGTTACTCATACGCCATGTACGCCGTGGTAAAAGATAGTCGTAAGCGCAATTTTGACGATTTTTATACCCGAGCGCACTTGTGCACAAGGGTATATTAATTTTGTTCACATAACGGTTGTTTGTAACAGCCAAAACGAATCGCGATAGATATAGACAAATGTATACATAAATGATCAGGATGAAAAAAGAAATCGATTAAGCCATGTCTGTCTGTCCGTCCGTCTGTCCGTCTGTCCGTCTGTCCGTCTGTCCGTCTGTCCGTC